TGTAGTAGCTCATGACTTGTGACACCCCGATTTCGGGCTGAGTTGGGAGGGTTTTCCTTGTTCTATCACGTTTATTTCGCATTTAAGATTATATTTCCCATGATTTAGACTTATTCATGCTAAGTAATTATAAAGAGATGTACTGTTTTGTTGATTGGTTGGCCTTGTCCTCACGAGAGGCGCCATCACGACCGGGTTGGGATTTTGGGTCATGACAGTGTTGTACCACTGTTTCAGGGTAAATTTGGAGCCAATCAGAATTAGCTAGTATCGATCCAATCTCTCTAGAATAGTATTACCATTCCTACGTTTGTTTGTCCATGTATACCTACTACCCTTAAACCCTAGGTCAAGTAAGTTACAATAATTTAGATATTTAGCAAAAGCATCCACCGTTGTGTTGTTAATAGGAGTACCTCCAAATTTTTTATTTTGTCTAATGACCTCATTAAAATCTCATCCAACTGGCCAAGGACCCTTATAAGAATCATATAGACATTTTAAATTATGCCATAGTAAGCTACGTGATTGAATAGTATTACTTGCATAAATGGAGGAAAGCAACCATTTTGTAGGGTTAGGCAATACCTGGACCATGCAGTACACTTCCTGTGTAGTCATGGTTAGTTCATCCACAAGTACCAAATCTGCATTCCATAGTAAAGTTATGCCACCTGACATTCCTTGTGCCTCAACTTGTGCCATGTGTGAGAAGTTAAAATCATTTTTTAAAAGTGTGTGATCATGCATGCGTGTCTCTAGTAGTGCAACTAAGACAGGTTTAATTTGTAGTTGTCCAACAGTGATCTAAACTGTCGTTTAAATTCTGCATTATTTGAGCTCTTACAATTCCAATTAAATTATTAAATTCATAATAGCTTGGGGGTTGTGTGGTTCATCTAGGTCAGCTACTTCAGTTGTCCCTCCCAGTGGTGCCTAAGAGTTCTGCTATATAGTAGGAGTCATTCTCAGAGATGGTATTATCACCATCGAGTATTTTCCTTCCTGTTGGTTTTGATTTACCTTGACGTTTACACTGCATGTTGTTATTTCTGGCTGGCATTTCAGTATGAACTTTTTTGCGTACTGTTCTTTGAGGCTGTAGAGGTAGAAGCCCTTTATCCATATGAACTCTGTACGTGTTTCTCTCATTTCCTCCATTATTTCTGCTAATTCCAACCTTGTTTGCTCTCCTGATTTGTTGGGCGATGTAGGTCGAGTTATTGGAGGACTGAAGAGAGGTGACAGTGGTTCCTGAATGTTGGTTGGTGACAAAATCACTTCTGGTGGGGAGAAGGTGTTCATGTGTTGAAACCAAGGTGCATATATCATCCTCGTGTGATGTTAGTGGTAGAAAGGGAGAGCTCCCAAAACTTGTTGGAAGCTATGTAGTGGTGGAGTTATAGGGTGTGCCCATGGGGACGGGGTTGATGGTGAGGCCCTCGTTTGATCCAACAGTAGTGGTGTATGGATGTTGGTCCATTGTGTTTGAGCTACTGCCTCCATCCCTAGCCTCATTCCCTCTGTAACAATCTCCGCTAAATGGGTAGGGTTTTGAACTAGTAGAATGATCTCTTGGTTGTTGAGTTCCATCGTGAAGATTAGGGAGTAACCCTGAAGTCCCATCTCGAGCCATGACTGTAGAGGGTACTCCAAGGGTGGTGTTTGGGAGGTGTATATCAGTGGGGTGGTGGGATTGGGATGAGGTGGACCGCTCATGATCAAACGTGGGAAGTGAAAGTGTTGGTGGTCGAGTTAGTAGTTTTCTCTGAAAGTTGTGTACCAAGGTCTTTGCATGGTGTTCAGAGATGATAGTGTTGTTTATATTGTGTTCTGGCAGTGGGTGTTGTAATGTGTTAAAGTTGTGTGTTGGTTTGGTTTCAATAGTGGTGGTGACTGAGTCAATGAATGTATTAGGCGTAGGGTTTAGGGTAGATAATTTCGTATCACATTAAGGGTTATGATTATTTAGAAGTGGGGGTAGAGAAGAGTGTATTTTAGGAGAGGAAGGTAACGTGGGGATTGGCCGGTTGGGGGTGGCATGCAGAGAGACAGATTGTAAGTGGTCGGATATAGATTTGGTGGATTTTGTGTATATATTGTCAGTATTTGTGGCTGAGGTGTCGTGTGTAGGAGTAGAAATGGAGTTCGGCAGTCCAGCTGTATTAGCTAACGTGGTGTAGGGGGTGGAGATATGAGTATCCATTCGGTCTTCTATAGGTTGATCCTTACCCATAATATTATTAGCATTGTAATTGTTATTACTTCTCGGTGCAGGATTTGTTTTACTTAATTCTTTAATTGTGTTTTTAGTTATTACGGAGTGATTAGGGGTAACATAATCCTTAATTGGTGCTAGTTGGTCTGGGTCCATTAGGTCAGCTTCTACTGTATTTGGGCTCGTTGGGTTAGTGCATGGTTTTGGTATGGGCCCAGGCCCTTGATGTCCATTGTCCTCTATAGAGTCCAAATTTGTTAGTTTAGCAAAAATATTAGCAGTCACTACTAGATTAGGGTTTGTAGGAATACCTGAGTGTACCTAGGCGAGTTGCGTAGCCACTGCCTTACCTTTGCTCGTATGGTTAGCCTGTTGTTGATTTGGGTGTCCATCTGTGTGGCTATGTTGGTGGGGTTTGCTGTGTCTGGCGTTGGTTCGTTTTGGAAAACTAACAGTTTTCCACTCTGATTCCTTTGTCGAAGGAATGGGTGATGGAGGGTGCATATGGGAGGTATTGAGAGGTGTAGGTGGTATCGAGTTTAGGGGTAGTGTTTAGGAAAATTGACAACTCCAACTTGCATGGCCAAATCTGTCACACCTAGTACAGAGGAGGTTGAGTCCTTCATACAGTAAAACTTGTTTGTGGGTGCCCAGATGAACATGTGTTTTAAGAGGTTTTTCCAATGGCACCTCAATACATATTCGTGCATACCTGCCTCGTGTAATAGAAGTGGTGCAAGTATCAACTTTTAATAGCTTTCCTATCTTGTTCCCAACTTTTTGTAGAATTTGAAAATCATAAAACTCAGTGGGCAGTTCTGGTAAACGTACCCATAGAACAGCATATGTTAGTTGGGCACCTGAAGCAATCAACTTGGGTTCCCAACGACGAACAGATAGAAAATGGTTTAATATGAACCAAGACCCCTCGTGCAGAGCCTTATACATATTTTCCTCATAACGAAATTTGATAAGGAAAAAATTACATCCCAAATCAATGAGATGAATTTCCTCTGTGGGTTGCCAACTATTCATTAGTTTTGCCTTGAGCAGATGGTGTCCAACTGTTCTACCAAAGACCTTGACAATAATGGAATTTTGCCAAGGAGTGTATAGGTGAGCTTTGTCTTCAGCTGTTAAAGGTATAAAATCGTCGGAGTCATTTTCATTGGAAGTTTCATAAGTTAAGTCAACTATATTGTTGACAGATTGTGTGTTGGAAATGTAAGTCGGTAGGTTTGAGTTTGATGTTAGTGTTTGTAAAAAAGATTTGATTTGTGGGTGAGTTCCTGTTGTGTCAATTTGCATTTGGTTTGTAATTGGTGGATCCGTTGCTGTGGCTTGGTTGTGAAACAGTGTAGACGGAGAAGAGGAGAGAACATGTTGGTTTTTTTTAATTGGGGTGCATGACTTTAATTTACAGTAGTAATTAATTTCTGTTTTCACAAATCTGCCCGTTATGATTAAATCATTTATCGCTTGTACTTTAGAGTTGTAAAAACAAAAATTAGATATTACTACAAAGGCATGCACATCAAATAGAATTTGAGCTATAAAAATACGTAAGGCCGTTAAAGGTGTAATTTACATGTGAGTACAAAATCTCAAAATCAAGAAGTGACTACTAAAATTTTAAAATCAAGAAAGTATAAAGTGTCAATCATTCAAATCAAGAAGGTATAAAGTTTCTATCGACGTTGGTCCACACTTCGAGTTGATCGGTCGACCAATTTATTACCGTTTTACCCTCAAATTGATTTCCTAAAACTGAACTTTTATAAGAGGCTTTAAATATTTTAAATAAATTTTCGTATGTATTTTAATTTTTAATTTAGTCTATTTTCGTAAAATTTAGTACTCATATGTGAAACTGCACCTCCTATTCCTAATTTTTTTGTTACGTTTTTACAATTTGCTTATATCCTATAGTCCATCTGATCAATTTTCAGAGGTAAATTGGCCATTAAAGAGAACTTAAGATATTTAGGAACTGCATGGGTAGTTGTTTTGTGAGTAAATTTTTAGAACTTTTACTGCCTAAAGCCAATGCTTTATTAATTGGGATTGAGTCACATCGTCGGCCCCTTCTGCTTTCCTTCCGACATAGGAATTCGAGACGTAAATGCAATGTTATTCTGTTACAAATTAACGTACCAGTGAAAAGTTTGGAGCTTACGTAAATGGTCAGGTTGCCATAGTGTCGATGCATGTGTTGTTGCCTTTTTGCTACATCAATCTATTCACACCTTTAACTTGTAACCACACAGCGTAATCTCCCTTGTAGATATCGTTTTCCCTGCTAGGCTGCTATTTAATTATTAATACCCAGGCCACCATCACTCTAAAGCGGATCGGGATAACTAGCTAGCTAGCAAGATATGGTGAAAGACTACGTAGATAAGCCAGCAGCACCGCTGTTTGATACGGTGGAGGTGAAGAAATGGTCTTTCTACAGAGCCCTCATTGCTGAATTTGTTGCCACACTTCTTTTTCTTTACGTTAGTGTTGCTACTGTTATTGGCCACAAGAAGCAAGTTGGTCCCTGCGACGGCGTTGGACTTCTTGGTATTGCATGGGCTTTTGGCGGCATGATTTTCGTTCTTGTCTATTGCACTGCTGGGATTTCTGGTACTCATTTTCATCTCCTCCTCTTCTTTTGCTCTATACATGTGAGTTTATTAGAACTTCTGGAGTTATAGGGGTTAGGGCTCTAACATTTTGTCCGAAAGCTAAGTGATGCTTACTTTATATTATCTCAGATTCTCAGTCTATTATAGGAATGTATAATGTAGTAGGAGTACTGTTACATATATATACTCCATATATATATACACATATAAAATTGTGAATATTTTTTTAAGAAATGGTGTTGAATGCACCTCTTGTAGAAGAGTACTGTTTCTGCCACTGCATGGAACAACATGGTATTTCAAATTTTAACCAGGGAATTATAAGTTTAGAGGTTTAAAGTTCAAAGAAGGTGTCTTGTGTGGTAAGTTCAGGTTCAACATTTGCATACCTTTTGTCAAAATCTCCATTGCCTTGCATGTTGTTAGATACATAGAGATAAGAAGTAGAAGCTTCTTTTGGTTTTCCGGCATAGTTAGCAAGTCACAGATTGAAAAATAACCTTCCTATTTAATTTGTCTTCCCCCCACCATCCACGTCCGTCCTCCCGTCTCTCTCAGTCCATTTATTTTTACTTGGAATTTAATATGAGACACCTGCTAAAGTAACCAATCACATAATTTCAGAAGAGTTTAAGTTATATACACCATTAATATAAAGAATTTTACACTGTCGAGTGATTTTTACCTATTATAGCACATTAATTACAATAGTTTAAAAATGTTTACCTGTTATGGTGATGTTATGGTGATGATGTATATGACTTAAAACTCATTTTGAGTTCAAAATACTCATGCTTTTGTTGATTAGCTGAATCAGATTGTCATGTCAATTTTTAGTGGTTCACTTTCTTCCAGCAAGTTAGCCCAAGGGTGGAATATAATTAAATAGAATTGTCTCCCCT